GAGTCTCTTACCTGTAAGTATGGAAGACAGAAGGGCCTTGAGGCAAGACTCCACGGCCAGTTTTAGAAAGAAGGTGAGTCTATTGTGGCAGGCCTCTCCCACCTGAGGCTTCAGGCATTGGAGACTGGCACGGGCCTCTGTTGGTGCTGCTAGACCTGAGACTTCAGGTTGTTTCTGTAGCCAGCCGCTGGCTGCACTGGAAAAACCCAGCAGAGCTCTACTGGGTCCAGCAACCATGAGGAGATTGCAGCGTCTGGCCTGCTCCATACCGACTTGGAGGCTTCCAGGCCTACAGGAAGTGAGAGGGTTGGAGCTGAAGGGCCCCCCAAGAGACATAGGGGCAGTGGGACGAGGACCCCCAAGGTGAACAAAGGGTCGATCCAAGCAAATGCAGCAGAGCAGGCCCCCCTCCAAGCCTTCTCTGAGGCCTTCCCCAGTGGTTTTGGCAGTTCCAGTAGGGCGGCTGCTCAGGGTTTTCCCCGCTCTTTTTCTGCCCTCCCTCTTTAGGCCTTTAGTCTGGCCTCAGCCTCCCCCAGCCCTGTGCGTATGCAACCAGGAATCAGTAGTGGCCGGGGAACACAATGCAAGGATCAGATTGTCCAAGGCAGAGGGAGCCCATTGGAAAATATGAACAGTATGGATTGGCTGGAACTTGTGGCAGTCAGACTAGCACGGTGTGCTTTCCAAATCCTATCGAGGAACAAGTATGTGCTAAGGCACACAGTCAATACTGTGGCCAAGGCACACAGCAATTGGCAAGGAGGCACCAGATCAGTGGTGCTCCTCCATGAGTCCAAAATCCTGTTCGTTTGGACAGGGGGGGAAATGGTAGGTCTAAAAGGGGAACACCTTTATGGTTTTGCAAACTGCCAAGCCAACTGGCTGAGAAGGAAGGAGTTAGATCCAGGAGAATGGAGTCTACACAAAAAGATCTTCTAGCAAAATCACACTTTGTTTCAGGAGCCCTATCTTGGATCCTTTTTGCAACATCAAACTATAATCAAGTTGCCAGGTTTCTAATCATTTTCTATGATTCCAGGGCAGAGGGCAAGGGCACACACACTTGTTGTTGATGCAGTGGTCTGCTGTACGCTTTTCCTCTGACCACACTGATCAGCTGAGGCCTGAACAAAGTGTCAAAGGAGACAACAGAGGTGATTTTCATATCTGCTTTCTGGCACAGAGGTTTTTGGGTCTCAAAGCTTAGTGAAGATGTCAGTGTGTTCACCGTGGAGATTGCCAAGTGATGGGTTCTCCTTGAACACGAATCCACTTGCCACCTGGACCCTATTTGACTCCAGCTGACAGCTTAGAGATGGAACTGGTGGATTTAGTAGGACTGGGCCTTCCAAGTTAAGTAGTTGACACCATGGTGCAGTCCAGAATACCTGCTTCCAGTTGTCTCTATAATCGTACATGGCAGATATTCAAAAGTGGACCAGTACCAAAAAGCTGGATCCACTGAAACTTATTTACAAAGACATCATTCCCTCGCTACACCAAGGTTTGGAATCAGGTTCTAAGACCGGATACCTTAAGAGACAGCTTGCAGCACTGGCCTCTATGTGGGACTGCATTAGGCTGCCTAATTTTTCTTCTCATAGGTAATTTTAGCTTCCCTGAAAGGAACCATACAGTTGGCACCTCCCATTAGGCATTAGTTGTTTACTGGGAACCTGTCTAAAGTGTTACAGGCCTTGAGCAGTCCTCCATTTGATCCTTTCAAATCATCAGAATCTAAAGTCTCCTTTTTGAAAGACTTCTTTTTTCCTGCAGAGATGACTTCTGCAAGAAGGGTTTCTGAATTAGGGGCTTTATTGGCCGGAATGGAATTGTGTATATTTCACAAGATCTCAGTGGTACTCAGGAGGGATCCTTCCTTTGTGCCAAAGGTTTTTTCCCTTATCACGTTAACCAAGAGTTGATACTACCATCTTTTTGTCCTATACCATGTTACCCCAACGAGAGAGTCTGGCACAAACTAGATGTGCTCAGAGCTCTGTGTGCCTCCTTCATAGGATGGTGCAAATTACGCTAAAAGATTTTCTGTCTGTGTCTCACAGCTCAGCCTTTAGGTAAAAAGGTCTCAAGCTTTGTATCAGAGATATATGATGTGCAAGGCCTAGGACCTCCAAAGGATGTTATGGCCCCACTACACCAGATCTGCAGTAACATAGCAACCTTTTGCACCAGTGTTCTACTGGAAAAAATTGTTAGAGTCGCATCCTGGTGCACCTTTTATACCTATGTGAGACACTATAGGTGGGGCCAGTTAATCAGCAGACGCTTCATCTGGTAGAAAGGTGTGCAGCATAGTGACAGAACAGATAAAAATAAGAATGAGGATCCCACCCAGGTTGTAGCTTGGGCATATAACCAGTTTGGATGACTTCCCCCACTGAAGGAGAACGAAACATTGGAACTTACCTGAAGGTTTCTTCTCTTCAGTGGGGTGAAGTCATCTACATCCCACCCAAAATAAAATAAAACAGAATAAAATCTAGTTGGATGCAGAATCTATTATGGAGCTGGGCTATACTAAGACTGGAGGGTCAGCCTCACTCTGAGCCAATACAGTCTGCACAAATTTGCATAGTCCTGCCTGGAGCGAGAGGAGGCGACACCTAACCAGTTTGGATGACTTCACCCCACTGAAGAGAAGAAACCTTCAGGTAAGTTCCAATGTTTCGTTTCCATTGGTGGCTTACAAATCCAAATTTAACACATGATTGTTTAAGAATTACAATGTACCAAAGCATTTAATAAGAAGTAATGAAATGTTCAGCTTCAGCAGTGTCAGTGCTGGACTGTGGCAGCTGAGTGATCAGACAGGAGGAGAAATGAAGTAAAGAAGGAGAACTGAAACAAATTTTACAGAAAGCCTAACGCAGAATCTTGGAAGCATCATTGTTCAGAAGGGTCAGTCCAGTGACAGGACAGGGAAATGGCAAGCTTAAAAGTGGGAGTCAGAGAATAAACTGTACTTTGGTGCATAATAATGTCCTTTTTGTAATTGTTCTGTTGCTCACCACAAGGGGTGCCAGTTTGCCTATCAGAAGCTGTTTGGCTTAAAGTTCCAGCTGAACCTGACTAATAACCAAGAACTGAGGCTTTTTCATTTTTTGTGGAAGAACTGAGTTTCTTCCCAGACAGCAGTGGTCTTTATACAGTTATGTGTCATTTTTACTTTTATTTGTTCACAGCTGTATGTTGCAAGAACTGTCTGGAGTCAAAATAAAAATGCTGTAATGATATTTACAACATGAGATGGATTGATTCCACAAGGAAGCCCTGGCCCTCTGTTTGCAAGACCTGAGAATGGCTGTTAATAATAGGACATTTTGAAGGACATTAATTCATAGGGTCGCTGTAAGTCAGAAGTGACTTGACGGGCACCAGCACATACAGAATGATATTTTATTATTCCCAACATATATAAATTTGCATTTCCTTCCTCATGGAATCTCAAAGCAGTTAAGGTGTAAACACGTAACTTGAAAAAACTATTCTAAACAAAACTATTATCATCTAATGATCTAAATGCCTTCTTTGGGAAGAGTGTGATGACTGTGGTGCCAGCACCAAGAAAGCTATGCTCCTCTCATAAATTTCACTGACTCAGAGAATAGAACCTGTAGGTCCTCCATTAGAGCTTAATGGCCAGTGGCAGACTGGCTGGAGGTATCAAGGATTCTAGGCAGAGATAGTACTGTATTTTGAAAAGTAATAACCAGCACAGACTTTGTGCCCCAAATCTAAGTAATATGCAGGGAAAATAGCAAAGCACAAATTGTGTGTACCGACTCAAGCTATTTTTTGCAGTTTCTGATCCATTTTCAAGGGCAGCTGCTTGGAGCATATTGCAGCAGCCTTTCCTCAAAGTTATAGAATCTTTTATTTATATAAGAAGTTATAGAAGCCTGAAGGACTGAACGTAGGTTCCCAGGAGGTCTTGCATCCAGATGCTGACCAGGTCTGTACCTGCATAATATCAACAAGGTTGTTGCATTCTATGCCTTACAGCTATACTCTGGAACCAGATTGGCAGGTTCCTACCCCCCACATACACACAGAGGATCATAGCTGGCATACAGATTTTACTGACCAAAAGCACTATTGGCCACAGTCACCACTTGAGTTTCCATATGTACCTCCATGTTGTGAATTTGCTTCTTCTGTCAGAATAGGTGATCTACTAACTAGATTGCAAAGTTTATGTAATATCTTTTACCATGTCTATTTTAATCAACTCAGTTCATTAGGGATCCAGGCATGGTTTTAGGATGGAGATGATTGATTTTGTATCTGACAATTTAAAAAAAAAATAGAATTGGGTATCTTGATCATATTGAGAATACTTAATTCCAAATAGTGGATTCATATAGAGACTTGAATATTGAACATGATCAGTGAAAAAGAGAGATCCTTGTTGCATAACGCAGGATGATTCCCATGAATATGAAAAGTAGCTATATTTTTTTAACTTCCCTGGGTATCAGAGATTTGAATCACTTACAAATACTACCCCGTGATGCCTTTCCAGTAACCTTGGATGACCAATGGTATTGAAGGCCTTTGAGAAATACAGTAGAATTAGCAGTATTATTTCCTTTGTGAGTCTTTATATCTACATTGTCTGCTGGGGACCATCCGCTAGATCTTGGTTCCAAAAGAGGACCAAATTTGATTGGAAAAGATTATGAACAAAACTTTTTCTATAGTGAACTCCTTCAAAGTGCCGTTCTAGCTAGTGTGCTTTCATTCCCTGAGCTACTCTTTGCCCCATTTTTAATGATTACAGAATTAAAATAGTCAAAATAATTTTAAATAATCTTCATCCTTTGTGTTCTGCAATCACTACAATCTAATTATTAATAGTAATAATGATATAGGAAGTTGTGTATTATTGTGCACCTCATTTCAGTGATGGCTTGATCAGTTTCATAAGATAATGCATATACATTTTTTTCAAAACTAAACTTCCGTTACTTCTTTTTCAGTGTCTCAGGAATATCCTAGAGAAGGGAGAAACTTTAGTTTAACAATAAATCAACTGCGATGCCTCTCCCAACTTGTAAAACTGTTTTTGGTGATGGAAGAAAAGATTGAAGAGCTTGTTTCACCATGTTTTTCTGACAACAAAAATGTTCAAGGTAATACATATTTTCCTCATTTTCATTCAAAAGAATCACCTTTTATAAATTCAGTAGTTGGAATAACTGAAATGGGAAAGTAGCATAATATCTCTTTCTTTGTCATAACAACTTCTGATATATTCCAGTGTTTTCTGAGATAGTTCATCCTGCAGTGTTCATAATTACTTAAATGAACATAAGCATGAACTTGCTAGCACATCAGATTAGTTGAAATAGTGGGGGAAAGTGAATATTTCTTTTTAGTTTTGAACCATAGACCTCCAAAAGCATGCAAATTAGTACAACAGGAAGAAACATGATTGGGTGAATTGTCATCACATCAGTACCTCAGCTTACTTTTCTGTTCAGTAGAGCCCCAAGTCTTTGCCCCTTCCTAATCCTCATTGTGGCTGTCCAAAATGGAATGACAGTTAAAAAAAACCTTGGCCTGAATTGCCTGAGAGGGAAGATATAAAGTGAAAATACCTTCTTGAAAGCACTATTCTATATAGGGAAAAAGAATGTTCCAATTGGGTAACGTGAGGAATTTTGAGGCAACACCGAGGTGGAATAGTACTATCTTGGGAGACATCACCACATTTCCATTAAAAGAATTACAGCATCAATAAAAGACAGCAAAACAGCTGTGCTGTTTTGTCAATGACTTGGCTTTTCAGCGCATGGGATAAAATGAAGTTCTGAACTCTGGTGAAAGTGGCCTTTATTAGCTCTGAATTGAAGTCATGCCAGGTAATTACAAAAAGGGGAAATTGAGTATAAGAATAAAAAGTTTAGTTATTCTTTGCTCCGTATATTATATGGAGCCTTTAGGCTTGATGTACAAAACGTTTGTAAAGGACCCTCAGAAATAAAGTAGTTTTTTGGGAAGTTCCTCATATTTTATTTTATTTTTGCCAGAGGTGGTATCTGAGTTTTATCTAAACCAGGAGGTTTCTTGGCCATCATTTTTCCCTAGACCCAGCAATGACAAAGAGCAATGGCTGCATAAATTGGATGTAAGAAGAACACTTAGGGTTTATCTCAGAAAAATCAAAGATTTCAGATCTTCTGACAGATTGTTTGTACTCTTAGGGGGTCTTAAGAGGGGTCAAATGGCTTCTAAGAGATCCTTAGCTAGATGGTTAAGGAACTGTATTAGGGAGGCGTATATAGTTAAGGGTAAAGTGGCTCCCAGGGTTTGTAAAGCTCATTACACTAGGACTATAGCTGCTACTTGGGCGGAGAGGTCGAAGGCTTCCACATTGGAAATTTGCAAGGTGGCCACCTGGGCTTCTCTTCATACGTTTTCATAGGATTATCACTTGGATGTAGTCTGTTCTGCAGATTCTGCTTTTGGTAGGAGGTTGCTTGTGAACCAAAAAAAAAAGAACTGTGAAGAAAAGAGAGATGCATAGTTCACACTACTTCTAGCTGCCGTCAAGACAAGTTCCTTTGCAGTTTGCACAATGGAAACCTATGAAGGCCAATTTAGGTGGCTGAAAATAGAAGTTACAACTCAAGGAAGTACTGATCACTGATGCTGTCTGACTGTAATCCCATGGCAGATAATAGCACCAAGGAACACAGTAGAAAAAAGTGAATGTTGACAGAAAATACATGTTAACAGCCACACTGAAGTGATCTAGATTTTTTAATTTGAAATTTAATTTGTATCTCCTGTGATTCAATAATTAAATTTAGTACATTTTAGATTCATTTCTGGAAAAAGGTATCATTTAGAAGAACAATAATATCAAAAACATTTTATCGAACTTTAGTATACTTGTTCTTGTTTATTTAGTTATTTTTATTCATATTACATTTTGTTTCTGATTGACGATTACCGTCATGTGAAGTGGTAATTATCAAACTGAAAACATATTTGAATAATGTTCACATGATGTTCTTTACTCAAACTGTTGACTTCCAATGCTGTTGACTTTAAAACTGAGGCTGGAAGCATCATAAATTCCTACCCCAGAGCAATTTGAGTTGAAAAATAAAAAAGTTAAAAAATTCCACCATGAATATAGAACCAAAAGGTAACATTTTCCTTTCCCAGAAAAGATTTAGGATTTTTTTCTAAGATGTATTCACCGATTCCTCATCTCTGTTCTTCCAGAATTAACAGAAAATTCAAGAAAATGACAGAACTGTAATTCACTTTCATCTGGGGCACTGAGAAAAAAATTCTTTGCTGGTCTTTGACCATTCGTGCAGTTCTGTTCTAGTTGATTTACAGTACAATTAATGAAATGTTCAAACATACCTAGTACATTCATTATCACAGAAGATACGATCCTTTGAAGAAACCTGGAACATTCAGCAGCAGCAGAATGGATAAAGCAGAATGTCCTATTTAGAATGAAGAATGCGTGACCAAATTATATTTTCCTTCTGCCCTTCTGGTGCGCTTTCCTTTTCCTCCTGGTGTATCAGAAGTCTCTTGTTGAGATTTTCAAAAATCAAAAACATCTAACACACTTTTCATCTTCCTCTCACCTTCCCCCCCCCCATTTCAATGAGAAAGGTGAACTTTAGACAGATCTGATAATGAGTGCCAAAAAAAGCTTTTTCCAGTGGAGCTCTTTGAAACCACACTGGGCTAACTTGTCAAGGCCTAAGGTTTTCAAGCTTTGCCTCAGGGGACTAGAAAGATTTGCAAAGGTCTTTCCTTCACACTTTAAGAAGACATCTGTTTTTTCATATAAATCTCTAGAAAGGGCTATAAAAGAACAACACAATCAGATTTACTAAGTCATTGCCCTAATGGGTAGCTTTTCAATGCTTCCAACTAAATGTGTTCAGAATTCCAGTGAGAAGTATACTGCTTCTATGTTTTCTTTTGCACCCTTACTCCAGCTTTACTCATGATTGGGTAGAACAGTATTTAAAGATAAAAGGACCTGCTGCTCTCCTGTACTTTACTGCCGTGGAGAATAAGAACAGGGCAGATTCTACCATTCTAAGTACTAAGGCTTTTTTTTATTATTTACAAAGTTTGTGTCCCACCTTTCTGCCCTTACAAGGGCCACCAAGGGCTACCAAATCACATTGCCATATCTTTTTATAAGCATTTTAATGGACAGTTGATCTAAACATCAGTTATGAAATCAAATATTACATACATTTATGAATCCTGTTAATGAAAATGCAAAATGGAATGTGGAGCTTATAAAAGCAACTATTGTTTGTTACCAGAATTTTACTTTCTTTTACTCCTAACTTTCCATTACAGTTTACTGAATACCTTTGTAGGACACACTGGTTTATGAAAGTGTTGCAAGCTAGCAACTTTCTTGAGAATTAATCTTAACTTTGATCCTCTTTGTCATACTGCACAGGAGTTCTGAAGAAAGCTGGTGGAGATCTTTTAATAGGGGAGAGTAGAACAAATGGAGCCAGTGTGCTTCCTGAACAGTTACTTCAGATAAAAGAGGTGAGTGGAAAAACAATCTGAGACCCTGGAAGTCTGTTTGACTGTGCCATCAGGAAGTGCAAATTAGAATATTAATTACAAATTCTTACATTCAGCTAATTTCAGTGGTATTACTTAATTCTGCAAAGACTGAAGTTGTGAAGAAAATGTATATAATGTTGAAAATAACATAAATTATTTTTTATATACCGTATTTTCCGGCGTATAAGACGACTGGGCGTATAAGACGACCCCCAACTTTTCCAGTTAAAATAGAGAGTTTTCCAGTTAAAATATAGAGCTGTGCTGATGCTTCTGGCGTACCGGCGTATAAGACGACCCCCCACTTCTGAGAAGATTTCCCTGGGTTAAAAAGTAGTCTTATACGCAGGAAAATACGGTATATATATAATGTGTATAACAGTTGTGAATATAAAAGAGGCTGTTTAAAAGTCATTTTTTCAGTGCCGCTATCAGGAAGGGCAAAGAACACAAGTGAAACTAATTGTGCAAGTTTTTATTTATCATTTTAGTTGTTTTCATGGCAATGGTGGAAAGTCCTGTCAAGTTGCAACTGATTTGTGATGATCCCCATAGAGTTTTCAAGGCAAGAGATGAACATAGGTGGTTTGCCATTGCCTACCTCTTCATTGCAGCCCTGGACTTGTTGGAAATATGTGTGTGTTGCAAGGTCTAATTTAGTCATCGTAGGGTTAATCTGTTTACCTTGTGTGCTGTTGTTTAGACTGACCTGGAAGGGAAACCTGGCTCAGAGCCAATGCAAACAATGCCCTCGAAATCTAAGTCTGTTTACTCACAATCATTGGTTAATGTATTCAGTTGATTTCCTTCTAGGGGTCAAGAAGAAGAATCTCCATTACAGTTGTTGTTGTGATACCGTGTGGTTGGTCTGTTCTGTAGCTGTAGAGATGTAGCCTTAGGTCTTTTACTTTGCAGCTTTTCCTGTGTACCCTTCCCTTAGAAATAAAGATTTTTACACAGAAATAAATACCTCCTCTCCAGTGAAGCAAAGATCCATTGCAAACTCTGAATATCTATGTATTTTTGCCAATTTTTCCAACAGGACTTCCTTGGTGATCTCTAATACATACTAACCAAATACTAACCCTGCTTACCTTCCAAGATCTAATGAGACCAGGCTAGAACGTAGTCACATGAAAACTTGCTAGTGGAAACTGAGATTGCTATTTCACACAGGACCCTTTTACTATCAACATACTAGTTATCCTATATGTAAAAACTGCTTTTATTTTTCACATTGTAGCATAACTAAGGAACAGTAATCACTTTGTGTACCTTGTGCATAGAGAGAAACACTGCCTAGAATGTTTCTTCCAGATCAATAGATGGGGCAAATGACACTTCTGTTTTGAAGTGGGTGCCTTAAGGCAATGCCTCTTGCTTTATACTGCACTCTTATGTTTATATCCAATCAAAATTAATCCCTCAGTTTCATCACTTAATCCCCCCCCCATTTTAACAAAACTTTCAACAACTGTTTACTCTGTATAAAATAGGATAGTTACTAGTTCAATAGGCCAGAAGCAAGAATCAAACACCTTGGACAAACTGGAGAAAGCTCTGATATAAGGTTTTAGATCCTTAGAAAAGTCTGAAATCAAATGGGTTACAAAGCCAATTCTTGAGAAACTCAGTGGCCATTCTCAATTTTGATCTGTCTAGATACAGGAACCTAAGATTCACTTAATGGACATCCAAGCGTGCCGGCATTTCCACTTTGATTTGTAGTCCCCCCCCCTTTGAGTAGCATTCCTCCATACTGTATCACAAAATGCTTGAAAAGTCCCTTTACTTTCAAAAGGTGTTGTGTGGGATGGAGACTTGAGAAAGAGCCAACTTGTGACACGCAGAAGTATTTAAATCTTTGAATCTCCATCTGTGTTGATTCATTCTGTTAGAACTCACCCAACAGGGATAGTCAAAAATCCTATTAAATCTGATTGATTTGATTTATATCTCACCCTCCCCCACGAGCGGGCTCAGGGCAGGTCACAAAATACTTCTAACCCACCCTCCCTTGCACGGCAGGGCTTAGGGTGACTAACAAGTGAATCTGCCCCCCCCATTCATTGGGTCAGTGAACAGTTGAATCTGCCCCCACACACAACTGTTCATTGAGTCAAAACTCAATATATGGGACTTCTGATAAGGAGTCCGAGCAAGGTTCCGCCCCAGTTTTCTTTGCTGTCATCTTCAAAGAGAACATACATTGGGGGAGGGGAATGGAAAATATGTGTTGTGTGTGTATGGTTTTGAAAACCTACATTCCAGACATAATTGGAAAGTGTATTCAGGTGTTCCTTGATTTCTTCCAAGCATGTACACCTGCGGAGGGGGGAACTCCTTTAAGTTCCTGGATGTGTAATTGTGTGACTGTGGCCCTGCTAGGGGGCAGCAGGACATCCAAAGTGTCTTCTGTGGTAAGCAGAGACTCACTTAGACTCAGTGGTGCTCTTTAAGGCTTTCTTTATTACCATGAACCAAGGCTACAAAGGCATCCACACAACTGCAGTTCCCTTAACCCTCCTGTTCTGCATCTTCAAAACCTCAGGAGACTTCTGTTATTGGTATGTTCCACCAGGCCTGAGCAGGTCTGGCTGTCTTGTGTTGCCTAAGGCCATAACTCCTCCTTTAGGTTCCTCTTCATCCCTTCTCTGTGCTGCCTTCTCAGCCTTTCCCACCCAGCTCACCATTGGAGCAGGGCCTGCTACCTCGCTGAGATTGGGCCTGCTACCTCGCTGTCGCATGCACACACATGTTCATCATATCCTTCCTCTAAGCAGCTCAGAGTGGTATACGTGGTACTCTCATCATCTGTTTTATTCTCACAACAATCCTGTGAAGTAAGTTACTTGAGAAAGTGTGACTGGCCCAAGGATACTCAGTGAGCTTTGTGTTTTAGCAGGAATTTCATAATGATCCCTGACTCATGGCATTCTCTAAATATGTACTCATGTCACTCTGAATATATTTTTCCTGGTGCGAACAGTGAGTGATTGGAATGTATAAGATACTTGTTCCTGAACTGTAAAAATCTAGGGAATTTGGACATAAATGTCTTGTAGAGCTTCTGTAAAGATGCTGGGGCCCTAACTCTGGCAAGTTTCCTAGAGGAGGAAGTTCATAGCTGGGGGACAGCCATTTAAAACACCTCTCTGAAGGTCAGTGCTCTGTGAAAAAGGCACAACGGTGGTAATCGTGCAACAACACTGTTTATTATAACGTGTGCTTTCATTTTTCCAGTCTAGATGCTCTGTATAGTTTGGGGATCATTCATATGTCAATAGACACTGTTGAGTTTTTGTTGTGTGTTTATATATTTCAGTCTACCTTATTAGCTTTTGGCTGGAGAAATGCGTTTAAAGATCTGTCCTCTTCAGTGGCATACTGTATAACAATTGCTGTTGAAGATTTTTCCACTAAAATTCTTCAAAATGAGCAGAAAGAACAGTCCTCATCTTTCAACTGTGTGATAAATCTTGTAAACGTACAATGCATGGAGAAATCTCAGGGAGTTCTTCATGAGAAAGAGCAACCAAAACAAATTTTAAAGGTATGTATCTAAAGGTCTAAAATGTGAGGATTTATAGAATGCCAGACCTTGAAGTACTTGCAGTACCAGTAATACTCCAGAAATCACATAAACAGAATTAATAAAAAAGTAAAAAAGAAATTGTGCTAAATTATTGAACAGAACATTATAGATCTCAAGGCTATATTAAAAGAAAGCAGACATTAGAAGGTACCAGTTTTTAAAATTGTTGTTAACACCCTTCTTCTTCTGCAAGCAAACACTTGTGAAATTTAGATGTGCAAGACATTTTCTTTCTTAAACATTTGAGCTATATTGAGAAACTGAAGATTGTACACAAGCAGGCCAGTTTACCCATTTAAATGGAATGAAGAATCTATTTTTGTTGCTTGTGTGATTGCATGGTTTTTAGACTGTGTTATACATCCAGCAAAATCTTTGATTTTATATAAAATTAAACCTAAAATTAAATATAATGCTACTTGCAACCAAATTTGGGCATATGGGCAACAATCTACTTTGTCTGTGGATCACACACTAGAGGCTGCATTTCCTATTGCTCTACAACTGCCACCTCTCCCCCATTACTGGAGAAACTGAAATGATAAACTGTGTTAAGAAGAACCTAGAATCACAGAATCACAGAGTTGGAGGGGCCATAAAGGCCATCTAGTCCAGAGGTGTCAAACTCATTTGTTACAAGGGCCAGATCTGACATAAATGTCACTGTGTTGGGCTGGGCCATGTGTGCCATAAAATATAATGCCAGGTAACAGAAATATCAACTTTATAAAGGATACAGGCTGACCCAATTAACAATATTATTTTTAACTCAAAATACAAACAAAAGCAATTGATTCCCAGCAGTGAAAAGAATTGACTTACTAGGGAGCCCTCAGAAGCACCCAATAAATGTATTTAATCATATGCACGGCTAGTTTTTTCCATACATAATAATTGCTTGCGGGCTGGGTAAGAGCCCTGGATGGGCTGGTTCTGCCCCCCGGGCCTTATGTTTGACAGCTTAGATCTAGTCCAACCCACTGCTCAATGCAGGACCAGCCTAGAGAATCCCTGACAAATGTTTGTGCAGCTGCTGCTTAAAGACTGCCAGTGAGGGGGAGCTCACCACCTTCCTAGATAGCTGATTCTCCTGTTGAACAACTCTTATTGTAAAATGTTTTTTCCTAATATCCAGCTGGTACCTTCTCGCTCTTTATTTAAACCCATTATTGCAAGGCCTATCCTCTTCTGCCAACAGGAATAGCTCCTTGCCCTCCTCTAAGTGACAGCCCTTCAAATACTTAAAGAGAGCAATCATGTCCCCCCCTCAACTTCCTCTTCTTCAGACTGAACATTCCCAAGAGCCCTCATGGATCAGACCAGGGTGCCATCTGATTCAGCATGCTTTCTCACATAGTTGCCAACCAGTTACTCTGGAGGATCAACAATAGGGCACAGAGACCTTCTCCTGATGTCGCCTCCTGACACAGAGGTTTACTATGAATGTGGAGGTTCTTTAGTTACCTTCGCTAGTAGCCACTGATGGACCTGTCTATCTGATTCCCCTTTAAAGCTGTCTATGCATCCTCTGGCTGTGAATTCCACATTTTAGTATTTTGTTTTGTCCATCTTTAATCTACAGCCCTTCAACTTCATTTGGTATCCCCAAATTCTAATATTTTGTGAGAGGGAAAGTTCTCTCTGTCTACTCCATGCGTAATTTTATAAACTTCTATCATGTCTCCCCTTGGTTGTCTCTTTTATAACCTGAAAGAGCCTGGACTCTTTAGCCTTTCTTCATAGGAAAGGTGCTGCAAACCCTTAATCATCTTGGTTGCCCTCTTCTGTAATTTTCCTAGTTCAGCAATGTCCTTTTTGAGATACGGTGACCAGAACAGCATACAGCATTCCAGCTGAGGCTGTTTTATTTTCAATCTCTTTCCTAGTAATTCCCAGCAGAGAGTTTTCCTTTCCTTTTTCACTATTGCTGCTGCACTGAGTTGGCTTTTTCATTGAGCTATTCACTTTGACTACAAGGTTTCTTTCCCTCTCAGTCTCAGCAGGTTTTGACTCTGAAAAGTACTGGGTTTGCCGCATGGAGGACTCAGACAACGACATGCGTTTGCACACGTTTATTGTACTTAACATTGAAACTGAAAAATTGCCCTGCAAGGCCAACTATATACACACCCACCCAGCACACCCACACTCCCATTGGACGGTTTGAATTTCCTGCCAAAGTAGCTATTGGTGAATGCTGGGGGAACTAGGATCGTAGGTTCCTATTGTTTAGAGGAGCTAAGCTCCTGACTGTAGCTGCGGATCCCTAGTGGCAGTCCGTGTACGTAACACCCCTCCCCCCATAGTTCCGACCCTACCTATGTAATATAGTCCTTTATATAGGCGGTGGGGGGGTCCGTCGCTCTCTGAGGGAACGACGGGGGGGGCTGGTATTGGGTCACTGGCTATGGGTTCCAGTTGCCTTGCTGTGACCTGGGACTGAAACGCCTGTTGTGGTGGCTGAAGTGTCTCTGGTTCTGTTGGTTCTGGTGTTGGTTCACTCGGGGAGGCTTCCTCCATGCTCGAGGGGTCTGGATGAATACTGGACTTGGGTGTGTGAGTGCCAGTTCCTGCAGCCAACGGTAGTTGCTCTCCTGCCTCCGGGAGCTGTCGCCGCCTTAGTTGGTCAAGGTGCTTCTTTAAGAGCCTGCCATCTTCCGCCGATACCTCGTAAAATACCGGCCCTGTGACTTTGATCACTCTTCCTGCCAACCAGGGGGTTCCAGTTCTGTAGTTCCGGATGAATACTGGGTCACCCGGGAAGAACCCTCTCAGATCATCTCGCTGTTCCACCATCCTCTTGGAGTCTGGTACCCGGTCCAGGTGTAGCCGATCCAACAAGGTCACGGCGCGTCGACCCATCATTAATTCTGTGGGGCTGTGGCCAGTGACGGGGTTAAGTGTTGTTCTCTGGGTCAGGAGAAAGCGGGCTAGCCAGAACTCCCAGTCCCCGTCTTTTATCCTGTTGAGGGATTCCTTTGCTGTCTGCATCATCCTCTTGGCCTGGCCGTTGGTCGCGGGGTGGAAGGGTGGGGATCTGATGTGCTGTATCAGGTTCTTTTGGAGAAATTCCTGGAACTCTACCGAAATGAAGGATGCCCCGTTGTCAGAGACTATCGTGTCCGGCAGCCCGTGCGTAGCGAAGATCCAGCGGAGGGATCGAATCACGGCCTTCATCAAAGTGGTAGACACATGGCTGATCTCCAGCCACTTCAAGTAGGAGTCAACCGCCACTAAGAATAACAGTCCCTGGAATGGTCCGGCAAAATCGATGTGTAGCCAGGACCATGGTTTGCGGGTTGACTCCCAAGGCTGTGTTGGCGTGCTTGGTGGTTTGGGTCGTACTTCTTGGCAGGTTTGGCACTGTTGGACCCACGACTCGATGGTGGCATCGATTCCCGGCCACCACACATAGCTCCTGGCCAGTGCCTTCATCTGGACGATGCCTGGATGTGCCTCTTGGAGTGCCGTGCAGATTTGTTGTCGCAGGGGTTCAGGGACCATGACCCTGTCCCCCCACAGCAAACATCCCTTCAGGGCTGAGAGTTCATCTTTCTGGCTACTGAAAGCTGCAAACTCGGGCCCCGGGGATGATGTGGGCCAACCCCTCACCACCCAGCCCCAGCCCTGGGAGAGGACAGGGTCACGCGCTGAACGTGCAGCACTGTCGGCAGCTTGCAGAGGAGGCTCCGGAAGACCTTCGAGGAGCAGGACCCCAGGAGCAGGATCGGTGTTAGTGGACGGCAGTGGCAGCCGGCTCAGGACATCGGCATGTCCCATCGCCTTGCCCGGGCGGTGCTCCAGGCGGTAGTGGTATCCAGCCAGGAAGAGGGACCATTGGAGGACTCATGGCGTGTCTGCTTGTGTGCAGCGAAGAGGCTGAGGAGAGGCTTGTGGTCTGTTGCGATCGTGAATGGGCGCCCGTAAACCAAGTTATGAATCTTCTTGACCCCGGCTGTGATAACGAAACCCTCCCTGTCGATTTGCGCGTAGTTGCGCTCAGCGGCTGTTAAGGTCCTGGAGTAATAGGCCACGGGAACCTCGCAGCCGTCAGGGAGGATATGGCCCAGGACCGCACCAATGCGGTAGGGGGAGGCATCACAAGAGAGGACCACCAGCAAGGATTCATTGAAGTGGGCCAGCACGTTGTTGGAAATTAACAGTGACTTAATCCCCCTGAACGCTGCTGCTTCTTTCGGGCCCCAGGACCAAGGAGCCGACTTGTCAAGGAGGTGGTTTAGGGGCTCTGCAACTTCAGCCTTGTGCGGCAGAAAGGTGTGGTAGAAATTAATCAGTCCCAAGAACGTCTGTAGCTCTGCTTTACAAGTGGGTGTGGGGGCCTCCATGATGGCCTTCACCTTGTCCTTAGCTGGATGGAGGCCGGCTGCATCGACCCGGAACCCCAGAAAGTCCACTTCGGGGACCCCAAGGAGACATTTCTCCCATTTCACTTTGAGGCCAGCCGAATCAAAGCGTTGCAGGACGGCATGGAGGTGGGAGGTGAAGTCATCAGGGGAAGCCGCGGAGACAAGGACGTCATCAAAAAATGGTGTCACTCCACGGATCCCTTTTAACAAGGAGTCCATTCATTGTTGGAAAATCTCCAGGGTACACTTACACCGAACTGTAGCCTCTTTACCTTTAAAAGCCTCCCTGTGCGGACTATCATCTGGGCCGTGGCCTCATCAACCGGCAACTGTTGATAGGCCTGTGCTAAGTCTAGTTTGCCAAAAATCTTAGCTCCTGCCAGAGAAGCCAGGACATGACTTACGACTGGGACCGGGTAGGAGTGGTCGTGGAGGGCCTTATTAAGTGTACATTTGTAGTCCGCACAGATGCGGACGTCGCCATTTGGCTTGACAGGGGTAACTATCGGGGTATCCCAGATGGCGTGTGATATTGGCTCTAGGACCCCCTGTGCCACTAATCTGCCAACCTCCGCATCAATTTTGGGCCAGAGTGCAAGCGGAGCTGTGCAAAATCGCATGCAGAGAGGGGCTACGGTGGGGTCTAATTGCAATGAAATTGGGGGCCCTTTATAACATCCCAAAGCCCCATCAAAAACGGCGGGGAACTCCCCGCAAACCTCCGCAAAATCCCTCTGAACACATTTATTAACCTCCCCAATCGTGATGCCCAATGGCGCAAACCAGGCCTGCCCCAAAAGACTTACAAGGTTCCCCTCCACCACAATCAAGTCCAGCAATCCCTCGAAACTCTGGTACTGCACCCAGAAGGTTCCCACACCCCGAATTGGGACTGGGTTCTTTTGAAAGTCCACCAAACATAGAGGGGAAGGGCGTAAGTGGGGTCCCCCAATAGGACAAAGTCTGTGCATCATGTCCACTGAAATGATGGATGCCACCGACCCCGAGTCCACTTCCATAGGGCAGGGGGACCCCTCAATCTGGACCGTGACTTGGATCTTCGGGGTAGCAGACAGGTTGGGGAGGCATAATACCTGAAGGGATGGCCAGTTGGTGAGGTGGTAGAGTTCGGAGGTTTTTGCTGTGGTCTCGTAGGTGGCAGCGACCTGGTGTTGGGGCTGGGCTGGAGGTTGCTGGTGCCAGTTTCCCTTGGACTGGCAGATGCGGGCGAGGGGACCCTGTTTTCTGCAAGTGTGGCAAGTTGTGTCCCGGAACCGGCATGACTTGCGCTCGTGCAGCTCCCCGCAGCTGGCACACAAGGAACGGCCGGCGGCTTTGCGAGGTATCCTGGAGCTGCGGGTCCCGGTGGTTTCTGGCGAGTGGGTTGGCAGATGAGACGGATGTCCTCCTCATCGGAGTTCTCGGGCGCCGAGTCAGGAAGCACCAGATGAGAAGCTGCCAAGGGTCGGTTACGGTGGGAGGCCTCGTGTGCAATGGCGAGTTGAAGGGCCTCGTCGATCTTTATGTCGGCGGTGCCAATCATTTTCCTGCACAGCTTTATGTCACTGATGCCCCAGGTGAACTGTGTCAGGAGGTTTTCCTCCACCTTGGTGAAGGCACAGTCCATTGCAAGCTGGCGCAAGGCAGCCATATATGCAGTGGCTGACTCATTCAGCTTTTGGATGCAGCCCTGGAATTCAATCCGTCTGGCAGCATTGTTGGCCGGGGCCAGAGGTATCAGGTCAGGGTGTCAATGATTTCCTCGTAGGTACATTCGAAGATCGCCCTAGGTGCCAGGAGACTCTTTGCGAGTTGAACAGTGTTCATGCCGCAGGAACTGAGGAGAAGGGCCCGTCGTTTGCCCAGATCGGTTACCTCATTGTAGTCGAGGTGGCAGGTCAGCTGGTCCATCCATGAGTCCCAGAGTTCTGGATGGGGTGGATCGAAGATCTCCAGGTTTCCTCAAGTGGAGGCCATGGCTTTGGCGTGGAGCATGGAGCGGTGTCCTGGGTGTGGTGCATGGTGCGGTGCTGCTCGGGAGCGATGCGGGGCGTGGTGACATCGGCTGGATCAATGCTCAGTGCTGCACTTGGATGTGAGCCAGGCCTGGCTCAGCAGTATCCCATCCTCGCCGCCACTTAAAAGTACTGGGTTCGCCACATGGAGGACTCGGACAACGACATGCATTTGCACACATTTATTGTAAACACTGAAACTGAAAAACGGCCCTGCAAGGCCAAGTATATACACACCCACCCAGCACACCCACACTCCCATTAGATGGTTTGAATTTCCCGCCAAAGTAGCTATTGGTGAATGCTGGGGGAACTAGGATCCTAGGTTCCTATTGTTTAGAGGAGCTAAGCTCCTGACTGTAGCTGCAGACCCCTAGTGGTGGTCCGCGTACATAACAGACTCCATTAGCATGTGCTTAAAGTTAGGATTTTTTGTTCCAATGTGCATTAGCTTACACTTAACCTACATTAAACCACTTGTCACTCACCTAAACTGTGGAGATTCTCCTGGAGCTCTTCACAGCTGGCCTTTTCACCACACTGAACAATTTTACGTCATCTGCAAACTTGGCCACTACAGTGCTTACCCTCAGTTTCAGACCATTTATGAATTAAATAGCGGTGGTGCAAATACCAATCCTCATGGGACCTCACTGCTTTCCTCCATTGAGAAAACTGCCCAATTATTCCTAGCTAATTTTTAATCCATAAAAGAACACATCCTCTTCTCCCATGACTGCTAAGCTTACTTAGGAGTCTTTGGTGAGGTCAAAAGCATTTTGAAAGTCTAGCTATATAATGTGTACCAGGTCAGCATTATCTTGTTGACTTTCTCAAGGACTTCAAAAGGTTGGCTAGGCAGGACTTCCCCTTGCAGAAGCCATGCTGATTTTCTCCGGGCAGGCTTTGTCCCTCTATTTGCCCAATAATTCTGTTTTTGACAAACATTAGGGACAAACATTTTGACAAACATTAGGGACAAACATTAGGCTAACTGGTCTGTAATTTTCTGGTTTTTCTCTGGACCTTTAAAAAATGGTGTAACATTTGTTTCTCTCCTGTCTGCTTCCCAGTTTTTAAAAATTATTTTTCTAGCAAGTATTTTCTGGGATTTTTTGTATTTTACCTTTACGTTTTAATGTCAGGAAGTATAACGGTTATTAAAACCTACAAATCTATTTGTTCTGTGACAAGTACATTATTTGTTGTGCTGTATGTAAATTAAAAATCGCTGTCAAACAAAAAGCAACTGAATGCCACATTTATTTTCCTTAGTTTTGTTCTGACATCCTGGAAGAACTTGACACATTGCTACCACTGGCTCTGGCATGCAGAGATGAATCTCTTCAGGAAATTAGAGCCAACTTTGTAGAGGCTTCCTGCAAAGTAGCAACAGCTGTCCTGGAAAGGTTGGAGGAGAGAAGTAAACACATCCCTTCCAGAGCTCCACTGCAGAACTTGTATGCTGTTCTCTCCACCTCAGTGCATGTCTGTCAGCATTTTAAGATGTATCATAATTTAATGAAAGAGAAGAGTAAGAAGTGAGTCTCCTCCATTCTATTGTTTTATTACACTATAAAATGCCTGTATATTATTTCATTCAGCAGTGGAACGAATTACTTAAAAAGTAAACAGAACTTCAAAGAAGAGTGCCACGTTCCTTTCTGTCTTGAATTTCTCTTTGTTGTAATGTCTTTCTTGGCCTGTTATATAGTTTTCAACCTTTGTACTCCACTGGAACTGGCAATTTCAGACTCAGTAGCTGTGATCAGATGTCATGAACAAACCACCGTTTGTTAGTGTTGACAAGAAGCCTGGCAATGGTTGGGCTGTCATCCTCTCTGCTTGTGCACACTGCTGTCGAAGGGGTCCTCATTTACAACTAACTGAAATTTGTTGTGACATCCACAGTGGATTGTTTAACAAATTGCAGTTTGTTTCTTGCTTACTGATTAGGATTCTCAGATAGGATTAAGCTACATATCACATTGTTTAGAAATCAGCATTTAGAATTGCACTTCACATTTCAGCAGCAGCAAAATAGCTATCCGAGATAATGACAAATAGTGGATTGACAGTTCTGTTTGCTTAAAGCAGAAGTACAGTACATATTTGTAGAATAGCAGATGTAGATTTTCAAAGAGCCTTTGTAACAAAAAACAGATTTTAAAGTGAATGCGGGTTTGGATTCAAGAACTGAGAGGAAATGAATGATTGATACTTAATAATACAAACCATTTGTAGAACTGTAGATTGATACCTCCAACTGCACTGGCCTTAAATCTTTTTCTCTTTGATCATTCCATTTAAACAGGCCTTTATTCCTGGTGCCTCTCCAGCGATATCAGGAATTGATCAGTGTTCTGCAATTTCAAGTTAAAAACTACTGCATCAGAGTTTGTGCTACAAGCATTTTACAGGATGCTGAGAGTCACTATTGGGATGACTACAAAGCTTTTTATGAGGTGTGGGGTTAACTTTTTATCCTGTTTTATACAATATGTCTTACTCTTTTCTGTTTTCTGAGTAATTTGAAACATAACTTCAGCACTACCTGGACAATATAACAATATTGAGAGAATCCAGTAGCAGCTTTAAGACTGCTCAGCCATTTTTAAGCTTTGGCAATGTGAGGACTCCCATTTTGATTAAAACATTTGCTAAGACTTCAGAGTTCTCTGCTCCTCTCTCACTGGTGTCTGCCACACATTGAACAGTTTCTTTTCAAAATGCATGTGGTAGAATTTGTATGCATCACAGGGACCTCCATCCCCTTATTTCCTCAGAGCAGTATGAGCTACACAAATAAAGCAAGTTTAAGAAAAGCTTGCGTACTGTGCATACATGGCCTGTAAGCTCATTTCTCAGAGGAGTTGATTCTGTAGGGCCACAACTGAAACTCACCACTTATCTATTGTGCACAGCTTGAAACTCACCACTTGATAGTGCTGGAGAGAGTAAGAAACATCTTATTGGCAATCTCTACTCTTCTAACCGAATTAATGGGTGGGAAGGCCTGCAGGTTTTTTCAGAGCTGCTCATAGAAATAGAAGAAGGCTTGCATCACATAAAACCTGAACTTCTGGTATTGAATTGAAGACCACAATTGGCTATGGATGCAGAGCAGTATCCACCTATCTCTATGATAAAATCTTTTGGGTAAGAAAATATACTAAAATTCTATTCAGTTTTATACCAGAAGTAACAATGACAGCTGCATTAGGACTGTACTTCTTCTGTGTTACTCAGCCAACTGGAGCTCCTAGGGCTGTTATTGGTCCCCAGCAAAAAATCACCCACTTTCTCTGACCCCCCATGAGTGTGCCTCCTCTGCCACCTACCTGTGCACCCTTCCCACACCCACTTGCTTGTGCATGCTCTTGCTTGCAGCTGCACATGCAGCTGCACATGCTCCTGGTGAACACAGTGCCAGCAGTCCCAGCTGCATGCATTGCCCAATGCCATTGGGGAAAGGGTATCCTAGCAGCTATGAGCACAAGTGATTGGAGGGCTTGTGAGTAGGCTGGGAAAAGTTGAACAGGTTGGGGGGCACATGGATGGGGGTTGGGAGGCACAAGTGAGGATCTTGGTGGTAGGCAGAGAACAAGAGCCCTGAGCATTCTGCCCCCTCAATACAGAACTGGCCCTGGAGTGGGTTCCTCTGAAGAAACGTAATTCATATTTTATCCTCTAAAATATTTTTTACATGTGTAAGAGTAAAGTGTACCTCCAGCTTTAATTCAGAAACAAAGTGTACCTCAGCTATCTGAAGTTTGGGAAACAGGTTTAACTACATGGAATATATCATATATTATTTATCATCTAACATTCAGTTCTGTTTTGGAGCTTGCTCAGGGTAGTATTTTCATTTCAGCCTCTGATTGAAAGATGATCTAATTGGTTAGCTAGGAGAGCTGGGAGTTGTATAAGTCTTATGTCATTGTTATATGGAACGGGGATATGTGAAGCTATCTTGGAACCTCTAAAACAGAGGGAGTATCGGGAAGCAATGTATTTTCTTGCAATCTGCTCCCAATTGCTTAACTATGGTTTGGAGTGTTTCAGCCATACCAGTCCATGACAGAATATAAGCACTGCAATATCTCACCAGCTGAATGTATACTTCCTTTGCCGCCCAAATGGCCCTCCGTTTTATATCTTAGAATCAAACTTTTACAAGCATCTGCTGTAATTTCAAAACTTGCTTTCTAATTGTAAAAAAAAAAGTCTATTTGCAGATTATATTTTGTGGTTTATGTAATACTGCCCAACTGCCTGTTTCCTGACATACAATTTGAATGAAAGTTAACATCTGTCTTATTGTATGAAGCTTGCAAAAATAGCAGATGTTTATCTGTTTGAATACTTACAAGTAACAACAAACAGCAAACAAGAAAAAATTCAAATCTCCCATGAGTACTTTGAAACTGATCACATTGTTTATTATTAAGTTTATACTTTGAGGTAATGTAATGTGAGGTATCATTAATAATAATGAAAGGTAATATATACTGTTCTATGGAACTTCAGATCATTTATAAACAGTCTTAAAAATAACTATATGGGTTAAAATACAATAAATTAAATGTAAAACACATAGGACATAGTATGTACATAGAACATATAGTATATTTAAATGTATTGCAGGAACCCAAAAACTTGTTAAAAAGGAGCTTGTTTCAGAATGCTTCCAATGCATTGAATAGTATGAATGAAAACAGATTTTTTTAATGTCCGCTAGGGCAGGTGATTGACTCATAATACCTACATATTCTTTTACTGCCGCTGCTGAAAATCTACAATAGTTAATGATTTTATTAGCATATCATAAAATACATACATGTTGAAATACAGAACATTAATAAAGTGTCCACATATAATCATATGATATGATAATAATCTTAGAAACATAATGTGCAGAGATCAGTATCGGTAAGGTTATTTTTTTGATACTTATACTTATTATAGTGACCCATAATAACAGAACTGTATAGTATATTACATATTAGACAGGAAATTATTATAATCTCTGGTCTCAGGCTATGTATGAAAAAAATCTACCAAGACATTAAATTGTTCAGAGTTTAGAATGTTATTATATTTATTTCTGGTATTGTTAAAACATAATAAAGATATATCAGTCTATTTTTTAAAGAATCCTAACAATGGATAGACATTTACATATCCAGCAAGAAGTGCTGGATGCACTACTGACACTTCTGCTGTTCTTTCAGCTATAGGGAAACAGGACATTGTCATAATCTGGCAGTTTAGGGAAGCAAGTGTATGAGCATTAACTGGATTTGTTAGTACGAGAAGTTGTTTCACTTTTGCTGAGGCAGGATGAAAGCTTCCAACAACTATAGGTCTGTTGCCCAAAGCAAGGCTTATTATGATATACATTTCATTTATTTACTGCATTTGTATTCTTCTGTGGAACTTGATGCTTTATATAGGGTAAAGGCACCTCAATGATTTCCCTTCCAGGTACTGACTAGAGCTAGACATGATTAGCTTTAGCAAGGTTGCTATATCAAACAAATTCCCCTAAACTTTTATGGATACCATCTGTCTGTCTGCCACTAATACTCCCAGCTTCATGAGTAACATTAATTAAAACTTTACATACAAAAATGGTTATTAATTCCTTCACTGGAAATAATTGGCTCAAGCTATTCAGTAGGGAAGATGGAGCATATCAAATAACAATTTGCACTGTCTTAGACCTTCCCCCTGGATGTTCCATCAGCATCCTGCGCTCACCAGCAAAATTAGAAAAGATAAAATGAATTCCAACTCTGGCCATTCCCTTTGTTTAACCAACATGTTGTGACCGCTATACAATTCTATAATATTATTACTACCTATTCTAGCTCTAGCACCTTGCACTTTAAGTTTGTTATAACTGTACGATAAATTAAGATGTTTTATGTGTGATTTTATGTATTTTATACTTTTATGTATTTTATGTAAGCCGCCCTGAGCTTGCCTCAGCGGGGAGGGTGGGATATAAGTAAAACAAATAAATAAATAAAGAAAATAAATGGGAACCTTGGGATAGGGGAATATTTGGTATGCAAGTGAAGACTGGATGAAGCCTTAGCTATCATGTATGTGGGCTAAGTCATGAGCTGAGAGTACCAAAGAGACACACTAGGGACTTGCTCCTGTGGAAATTGTCTCACAGTTGGTCACCCTTTTGCAGTTAAATTTTCACAGATAACAAATATATGTACTGCTGATTAAAAAATGTTATTTTGGAAATGAAATATTACAGTTATAGGGAGACAAATTTATGATAGTTCAGATGTTTGTGGCTTGAATTTTTGAAAGGACACCAGTTTGCTAACTGAAATAGAACATAGTGTTTATGTGTGTGTCAAAAATATGTTTTACATCATGTGAGGATTCTGTTCTGGTAGTTTACCATCTCAAATTCTTTAGCAATTTCCTTTCAACCTGAATGGATTAGTTTCACTGAATCCAAGCTGACGTTTCGAAAGATGTGTTTCTATTGTTTAACATTTGGTGGTTTTGCCAGGGGGAAAGATGCTCATTCTCAGTCCAGATGTGGCATTATTTCTGCTGTGCTCTTCGTCATGATCTATGGACTGTTCTACCCCCTGTGTTAGCCCAGGAAATTCTATCAGAAGTGCTAGAGGAATCTTTGGCAATCTTGACTTGCAGATATTTTCAGGCCCAGCCCAGCTACAAAAGAACTTCACAGATAAGGTAATGATACTTTGTTATTAATTTTGCCTTTTGTTGTTCTGTGCCTGAACATAAAACTATCTGGTTAAAATCCAAAGCAAAATTAAGCATGTGTGTAAACTAAGTTAATCTTGACACATAAAGAACTCCTGGAGACTTCTGGGGAAAAGCTCTTCTCCTGGGTAACAGGGAGCTCTCATTGAGAAATGGTGGCATTCATACTTTGCCCAAACATGAACTTCATCTTGTTTCTTACCCACCTTCCCACATCTTTACTCTGATGGAGAATTCTCTCATTAAAACAGTTTTGATGACATACAAGAAAGGAGATACTAAACTATAACAGAAGGCAGACACGCATAGAAGTGAACATTGCAAAATAGACATGTTTGCTGGTACAATATTAGAAGAGTTTTAATTTAACATAAAAAGAAGTCAACTGCAAAGCTGAAGCTGAGCAAAATTTTCTAATTTCACCCATTTTCCAACATATGGGTACAAAATGTATTGCTGAGGGTCACAGAACTCCCGGGAACTGTGTGGGATAAATGCCACAGTGCTTTCATGTTATTAATTATGCCTCAGGATACTGTTGAGTTTTAAGCAAACAGAAAGATTTCTTTGTTTTTGTTTTTGCAAATGACATCACATTATGGATTGTATTGCAGCTTTTAATGGGTTTTGGGACTCTTCTTTTGCCTCTTACAGAATAGATTGTACAGCAATTCTGATGACCTGTGAAAACATGCTGTGGTCAGTCTGTAGCTCTGTGCAAGAACTCTTGAGCCCACATAAAGACAAAAATCCTCGCATTTATAAAATACACAAGTATTGCAATGATCTTCTTATAGCAGCTGTCATTTTAACTGCCCCAGTGAAAAATCTTTATGAGTAAGTGTGAATTTAATATTTTAAATATAAAAATTCATTTAAATGTCCATCCATCCTTGTGTGGTGGTTGTTTTTCAATATGGTGATGATGACGCATCAGTCTGTCCTGTTTATGAAGACAGCAGCAGTTTATGTGAGTAAGAACTTAATTTTTAAGGTGCTTTTACTGTTTTGTTTGTAACCTGCCCTTTAATCCACTATGTTGAGACAAACTGAACAAATAAAGCAACCAGTATTTCACAGTTTTCTGAAGCATTCATTAGTAGTTTTACTTCAGCATTAAGGAAGAAGTCATCTTCACATAAGATTTTATTATATAATTCAGGGTACATCTATAGAAAGTTTACAATGCATCAATAAAATTAACTGATATTCTTTTATCTGATATAATGATATTCCTTAGTATAATTCCATAAACAGTTTCGAAGGGAAGAACATTGAGCAAGGAGTCATACCAAATCATAATTCAGAAAGTTCTGAGAAAGGAGCATGTATTTCCTCACATTTGACTAACAGACTTTTGAATTAGTTTCCTAACTGAGGAAAGAACATTTATTCCTTCCAATTTTTATGCATCTGTGTGCTGATACACAGTCCTTTCCTTTTCTGGATGCATTTCGATCTGGCTTCAGGCTCAGGTTTGGTTGCTTTGATTGATGACCTCTACTGACAACTAGAAGGAGCTGCGGTGGCTCAAGGGGTTATCGAGCAAGAGAACCTTTACCTTTACTGACAACTAGACAGGGCAAATGTGATCCTGCTATATCTCTTAGTGCTTTTCATACTATTGACAGTAATATCCTACTGAACTGCCTCTTAGCACTAGGACTGGGAAGCACTGTGTTATGGTGGTTCGAGCCCTATCTGGGGGGACGGTCTCAAAAGCTGGAGCTGGAGGATTCCCGCTCTGTTTCATGGCCACTGATGTGTGGGGTTCTGTAGGGTTTGATCTTATCTCTCCCATGCTGTTTAATATCTGCATGAAGGTGCTGGGAGAGGCAACCAACAAGAATTTCCTTTAGCAATAGTAGATATTGGAAGCAATCCTAAGCAGGTCTACTCAGAATTGCCCTATTTTATTCAGTAGAGCTTACTCCCAGGAAAATGTTATTGGTATTGCAGCCATTATGTCTTAATAGATGAGAGAAAGGAACTAAGCAGACAGTGATGTCTGCTGCTAGTGGAAAACTTGAGTTATGTGGTCACTAAGGTTGCTACAAATAGAAAAAACAAGCACAAGATTAATGTAACAAACACCAATTACACTAAGCTCAGACCAGAATGTAGTTAACTTTTACAGTGTCATAATTTCAGGGAGAAATCTTTCTCTGTTTAATTAAAATATTTGTACACAATCTTTCCATATAAATATTCATGACTCTCCTTACAACACACCAAACCAATTAAAAATAAAACAATAATATACTAAATATCACAGTATACTAAAAACAGCAATAAAAGCAAATGGGCAGATATCCCCATTAACCCAGCATCAAAGTAAACACAAAATCTTAACCTGAAAAAAACCACCAGACAGTAAGCCCTTAAAACAATGCTGATATAATTCAGCCCTATTTTTAATCTTTTTAAATTCTTTCATGCATCATGCTGTTTTGTATTTCTGTATTTTTGTAATAAAAATGATGACCTAAACGCAGAATGACTAATAAAACTCTACCCAGAAAAAAGGTATTTAAAACTGCAGCAATATAAAAGCAGGCAGCTAACAAAACCATATCAGGGAGTGGGAAATTTGTAAAAGAGAAAGTGAAAAATAAAATAAAAAAATCTTTGCCAGCTCCTTAAAAGATTGTAGGTTAAGTGCTAGATGACCTTCAGGAGACAGTTCCATGTTTTAGGCATCACTGTTGAAAAGACTTCTGACTCAGACTACATTACGTGGGTCTGGACATTGTTACTGTGTATGGTCAGTACAAGTATCAGGTAGGCATGTGCCCTGTGTGAATGATCCTAGTTCCCAAGCTGGACTCAGAGTCACAAAGTAGCCAGCCATAGGAGAGAAACCTGTCTCTCGCTTTCTCTTCCTGGCAAGAGTTGCTGACTTAGATTTAACACCTGGCCAGATACAAGTAAGAGCCCAAGCCTAGACTTAGACCACTGCACTTTAATTTAGAGTTGAGAATCCATCTCTTCTCCAAGTATTTGCCCAGTTTTAAACTGGCCAGTGTTTATTATATCAGGACAAAAGCCTTGCCACAGCTTCTTTGGAAAATGGAGGCCTTGATCTTTCCATTAGTGAGGCAGATCCTCCCAGGGAGACTTCACAAGCCAGGGTGGTCACGTATCAAATAGACGTGGTGGGTCTCATCCTCTGGCTGCAATCCTAACTGAAATGTATTCCTATGAACATGTCAAGTGGAAGCCTCAGTTATCATTAATAATATCTGTATCAAATATAATCAGTTTTATCTGCAAACTATTTACAAATTGGTCACAGTGAGGGATCCTCTTTTTCTGCCTGTGTACCAATGTATAAGAAGCCTCTTACCTATTACCTATTAAAATGACATTGCTGGATAGCACTGGAAGGATGCAGTGGTAGTAGAAAAGTATAATTGCTTTGCTGGTGTAATTACCCCAGAATGGACACAATGGACATTGTGGACAATAGACATTGATTTCTAGTTTGTATTCTGTCAGCTTGGATATGAGTTTTCTTCCACAGTCACTTCAAATGTAACCTCTGCCACTTCTTTGCCACAATCTCTTTTGAGAAAAAAGGAGACGAGTGGGCTCTTGTGCATGAAAGAGAATGCTTAGGAGCCAGTTTGGTGTAGTGATGTAGAGAGCGGTGCACTCCAATCTGGAGAACCGGGTTTGATTCCCCACTCCTTCACATGCAGCTAGCTGGGTGAACTTGGGGCAGTCACAGTTCTCTCAGAGCTCTCACAGGTTGTCTGTTTTGGGGAGAGGAAGGGAAGGAAATTGTAAGCTGCTCTGAGACTCTGAGTGGCGGGAGGGGTATAAATCCAATCTCCTCCTCCTTCTTCTGTCTGTTTTCTGTGTGGCTTCTTGATTCCAGAGGTCCATCTGGACATTGTCTGAATTGCCAGCCATGTCAACAGGAAATTTCCCCAGAGACTTCAATTTTGAGGGGAGTAAAGCCAACCTAGCAGTTCGAAAGCAAGAAATTGCAAGTAGATAAATAGGTACCACTTCAGTGGGAAGGTAACAGCGTTCCGTGCGCCTTGGTGTTTAGCCATGCCGGCCACATGACCACGGAAACATCTTCGGACAGGGCTGGCTCTTCGGCTTTGAAACGGAGATGAGCACCGCAACCCTAGAGTCGGATTCGACTGGCTCTCGAGCAAGGGAACCTTTACCTTTCCCTTTAAAGCCATTTTAATTCATGACCTAGGTAGCATACATTCATGAGCTAAAATATTGAGACCTCACAGCCCTTGACCTCTACATTTCAATAACAAATAAAAGTTTCTAATGGTTTTAGAAAATAATTTATAAAACATCCCATTATACTGTATTTGTTTTAATGTTGTTAATTTGTCTCTAAATACTGGTATTCTAATTATCTTTCTATTTAGTAATTGCACTTGTCCACTATATATGTCCCAACTGTTATTACCAGATTTCCTGCAGGGTAAACATGTCTTGTTCTTAGTTTTCCATTCCATAAAGCACTCTGAATAAATACAGCATAGGTGACATATACAGTAGTCTGAACTGTACTGTCCAATATTAATTTCCAGTCATTCTTGATGTTTTCACTATATCACCATATATGCAACAGGTTTCGATCTACTAATGTGCCTTGATAATTTATCTCCTTTTTTATGAATTTATCTCAATTAATTATTCTGTTTCTTTAAATACTTCATATATAGCTTAGCTTCTGAAAGTATTTTTGTATTTTCAAAAAGAAATCAACTTGATATTATACTGAATTTAAGATTATTTCTAACACAAATTTCTTTAAATTCTACAATTCAACATTATTAGGAGTCTTTATTTAAGCATTCATCATTTCACACTCGCACTGAGATTTATAAGATCAGTTCTCACCTTGTCATATATTGCACAGGAACAACATAACTCCAGCACAGAATTTTTTCTTGGTATCAAATATTCTCACAGATGCTTTCCTCATCTTTGAGACTAGAGGCAGCTGCTATAGCATATTTTATACATAAACAGTGCTATCTTAAGCAGAGTTAAACCCTTTTAAGTTGATTGAACTTAGTGGGTGTTGAAAGGTATAACTCCACTTAGGATTGCACTGGAAGTATATTTCCTTATATCTATGGTTATGATATAATTATCATACTAAGAAAACTTAAACTTATAGATTTACTATTAATATTTTCATTGCTAGCACCAGTCATAGAGATCCACTAAGCCAAACCTTCATTGACATTATCATTTAGATTATTTCTCTGGTATATATTAAGAAATTATTAAACTCTTATAGTCCTTCTTTAAAATGTATCACAGTTTCAAAATGGTTTTAGAAATTTGGTTAGAATGGTTTCATCCAGTCATAGAGTTCTGGCTTTAAAGGTTTTGCCGTGTGCTCTTAGAGAACTCTGAAGAATTATACCTAATTGATTCTATTCATCCAGATTCATTAATCACTCAGTAAATAGGGCATGTTCTTTCTACACATTTTAAAGATGGGTAACGACGTTAGTCTGTCTGTAGCAGTAGAAAAGAGCAAGAGTCCAGTAGCACATTAAAGACTAATAAAATATGTGCCAGGGCATGAGCTTTCTTGAGTCACTGCTCACTTATGAAGAAGCTCATACCCTGCCACCAATGTTCCCTCTAAGCTGTGGAGTCTTGTGAGCAAAAATTCTACTTTATGAGCTCCTGGCATTAAAGCTGTGAGAGAGCAATTTGGCTAATGCATCAATTAGTTTGCTCTGGAGCCATCCTTCCTGAGCTGAGACAAAAATGTGTGAGCTGGAGGCTAAAAAACTGTGAGCTAGCTCACTCTAACTCAGCTTAGAGGGTACATTGCCTGCCACATATTTTATTAATCTTTAAGGTGCTACTGGACTCTTGCTCTTTTCTACTACACATTTTTAAAGTATAGATCCCCCCCAATTGGGGCTTGTCCTATTCCTTACACTGTACAAAAGTTATTGGGTTGGATCCTACAGTACTGCAAATGGTATCAGTTTTCAGAAGTAGGGTTGCCAAGTCCCCGCTACATGTACAGCGGGGGACTCCAGTGCCGCAACCACGTCACCCAGAAGTGACGCAACCACGTTGGGCATGCCGGGGGCGGGGCCACAATCATCTGAGGGAAAACCATAGAGTTTTCCCTCGGATGACTGCGGCCACGCCCCCAACGCCCCCAACGCGACTGTGTCACTTCCGGGTGACGTGCTGACACCGGGCATGTCATGTGCTTTGGGGGTGGGGTTCCCCCCGGGGCCCAATCCGCTGGCGGCAGGTAACGGGCCTCTGGGGCAGGGGGTTCCCCGCTCCCCGGGGGGACTTGGCAAGCCTATTCAGAAGTTATTTTTGCTTACTCCTCCTTTTCATTGCAGCCCACTAAGTCCCACTCTTAGCCATTCCTGAGGGCTAGATATCTTTGGAAACAACATGGGTTGTGCCATTGTTGGTTGCTGTACCCAGAAAGAGAAGTTAGTAGAAGTGACCCCCCCACCATTTGTGTTAGTTTTGTAAGAGAGGCTGGGTATTTCTCCTACAGTCTTTTCAAGAGCAACACCCCATGTTGTTTCCAAACACCCTGTGTCCTTAATGATAGCATAGGCTCCAGTGATGAAGAGGACATCCCTTCTCCAAACTTGTTATGTTTACAGTAGTATAGGATCCAGCCCATAATGGTCTTCTAATTTAAAGCATACCTATGTTACAAAGTTGCAATTATGTGCTTGGAATTGAGTGTGTGCAGCACGTAGCCAGAATCAAGTAAGTATGTAACTGTTTTGTATGTATAGTTGGAAATGTACGTATTCCACTGCATACATTTCATCTGTATTTGTACATGTAATTTTGCATGCATTTGTAAACAATGTAATATGAAGGCTAGTTGAATAGTCTCCCTGATGTTCTGGTTATTGGCACACAGTGAGTTCTATTATAACATTGAAACATACAAGCTCACACCCATAGCCTGAAGTAATACTGTTCAGGAGCAACTTTATCTATTGATTGTGTAAACCATTCCAGGAGTAGAGCAGCTAAGAATAAAATTGAGCAGTTCTTGCCATGGAATTGGACCGTTAAAATTATGGTGTGACAGCTGGGAACTGATGGGAACTTCTGACTTTCCTGTTCTTCTCTGCAGAACTTGAATGGGAAAAATTGTGGAGTTTGAAGTAGTAAGGGGCATAGTCACCAGGGACTTACCGTATTTTTTGCTCCATAAGACACACTTCCCCCCCACTTTCTTGGGGGTCTTATGGAGCGAATACTGCAAAATACTGCCCCCGCCAGGTACTCCCACGCTGACAGCTGCCTAGGCAACTTGATTACTCACTGGGGACCGCTCCATCTGGCCCGCCCTGGGCCCCCCCAAGCCACATCGCTGCCCGCCCTCAGCCGCTTGCCGGCCTCGGACAGGCCAGGCCAGGTGCCCCAGCAGAGGCCAGCCAGCGGACGGGTGTCGTCCTCTGTAAGCGCATGCGTGATGGCACCAGCACCGCCTCAGCTGAGCCCTGCTGCGCTTGCCCTCCTCTTTCTCCCTCATGCACAGCCCTGAGGAGCCGGAGGCCAGCACCTCTTCCCTTTGCTCCCGGCCCTCTTCCACAGCCGCTTCGCGGTGTGGGCTGACTGTGCTGAGGTGCCACCAGCCTCGGAAGCAGCCTCGAAGGAAGCGGGGGCAGGGCGGCAGCTGCTACTGCAGCAGGAGGCTGCCCCTTCGCTGGCAGCCCTTTCGTCATCATCTGGCTCAGCCAAAGCAGCTCTGACACCGCTCTGCACTGCGTCCACCACCACTACCACCAGCACCACTGCCAAAGACACCGCGAGGCCTCCCTGATGCAGACCTGCCACTGCACCAAACACCTCCTCCTGTCCAACCCCGGCTGCAGGAGCTGGGATGCCGGCGACAGAGGAGCAGCGCTGATCTACCCACTGCTGGGCCTGGAGAACGAGGCCACCGCCGCCCCTTCTTCTCCCAAGGGAAGGGCTGGCAGGCGGCGGCCCAGCTAGAGCTCAACTGCCTATTAACATACAACAAGCCTCTATTAAAGGGACAGGACATTTTCCTCAATTGTTTAGCTGGGGAAGGATTTCCTGTTTTCCTCCCCAAAAAAATAGGTGCGTCTTATGGTCAGGTGCGTCTTATGGAGCGAAAAATACGGTACACTGCAAATTTTGGGTCAAAGGAGAGTAGGCATCTGTAAATGTCGTCTTTCTCAAGAACCCAGAGTTCCTTTGAGGGTATAGATGCCTAATGAATAGATGCCTAATCTGCTAGATGGGTGGCAAACTGGGAAAAGGCCTTCTCAGTCATGGCATAAAAATTATGTAATTCCCTCCCAGGGAGATTTATCTATCCCCCTCCATCATTATCTTCCACCAGCAGGTGAAATCTTTTCCATTTTATTTGTCATTTCCTCACTGATCCTCTTTCCCATTTAGGTATTTTTAAAATTGGTTTTATTTATATGTATTGTCAAGAATTTTTAAAATGTTTTTGATTGTTTGCTGTCTTCGGGAAACATAAAAAGTGTTTTAAATAAAATAATTATTTAATTTCAGATCCATGCTTCCAAATGTATTCAGAAATAAACAGTAGAACTTAGTACTATTTTATTAGACTTTGCTGCTTTTCATAAATATTTGTGGTGGCATTGTAATATCCAGCAAAAATTAAACAATTGATGTTTGTATAACAACAACAACAACAACAATAATAATTTGGCTTTTTACCCCGCCCTCCCGGCTGAGACCGGCTCAGGGTGGCTTACATAAGAACAGAATAAAATCCCAACAATACAGTATAAAAGTATAACATTGGTTAATACAATAACAGTTCTTAAAACCATAAATATAGAAATATAATAATAATAGATGTATTGTTTATGGAGCATTTATAATAGGGCTGCAAGGGGTTCTCTCCTTCTCTGTGCCACCTTCCATACTCCACTCCTAGGGTTGCCAAGTGTATCTTCACCGGGAGCGGGGGGCTCCCGGCCGGCATCTTGTGTGTGTGTGCACGCACTGCGCGCACGTCACCTGGAAGTGACGGGAGGACGCCAGGCACGCTGGGGGCGGGGCCATGGCCATACAAGGGAAAACCATAGAGTTTTCCCTTGTATGGCTGTGGCCCCGCCCCCAGCATGCCCGGTGTGCTCACGTCACTTCCTGATGACGCGAACGCTGGGGTGGGGTTCCCCCGGGGGCCCGATTCCGCGGCGGCAGAAATCGGGCCTCGAAAGCGGGGGTTTACCCACCCCCCGCCCCCACTTGGCAGCCCTATCCACTCCTGAAAGACGGGGAAACATTATGTAATGACATTATGGGGTACACAGGACTGCTGCTGACGGGAATTGGCAGAAATCAGACATCTCTCCCCCCTTGTGTGAGCTGAACTTTTGTCTGAGCAACAAGCTGTTTTGATCAAAGTGTTTCTATCTTTTTTCAGTGTCTGCTGCTAAACATAATGTTTTATGCTTCTGAATTATTTTTATTTTTCAGAACATTTCAGAGTAGTTTTAATGATCCCATTCCTTCACTTGTTTTGGAACCTCCTGTTAGCCAACCATTACACTGGTTATACGGAATAACAGAATTTTCCCCTTCATTTCTTAAGTGAGTATCTCCAGGTGATGTTGTAGAATGGAAACTGTTATATTCCTGTGTTGCATACTGATACTTTTATTGCCAATAAAGTTTAATATTTTAAATCTAGTGTGAAAAAGCTATTAGAATTTTATGAAATTATATCTTCTGTATAAATGGAACCAGTCCAGATAAGGAATGTAAACCATTCTTTATCCATATCCAAGGGATTCGGAGTGAGTCATGGGACCATGTAAACCTTCATCTTGCCTCTTCTGTGTATAATTCAAAGTCTGTCTATCCCTTCCTCACTGGACATTCACCTTAACTATGGTTAATGCCTACTAAATCTGGCAACCGTAGTTTCAAGCCAGTTTGAAACCTTGTTCATGTTAACTATGTTTAGGACTTGTGATGGGGATTCATACCAGGTAGAGAATGTTCCAATGCCCATAAGCTGTTAACAAACCATGATAGATTTGTTCAAGCCCCTAAAAATTCAAAGCTGTCTTTAGTTTACAAATATATTTGTAAGATGGTATTTAATTGAGTTAGAATCATAGACTCAGAGTTGGAAGGAACCTCCAGCATCATCTAGTCCAACCCCCTGCACAATGCAGGAAATTCACAAATACCTCCCTCCACGTCCCCAGTGACTGCTGTTCCACACCCAGAAGATGACAAAAAACCTCCAGGATGAGTGGTTTTTAGGATCCCAGGCTGGGGGTGGGAAGCTGACTTTTACCTGCTGAATTAAAGCTGGAGGGTGGAGGTGATTCTAAATCAGCTTTCTACTGCAAGTCCAGGAAAGGAATGCCACCACCTCATTTTCCTGGTGGCTTCTGTGAACTCTGGGATGACTACACAGGGCCCCTCTTCCTCTGAGGAGTCCTCACTGTCACTGAACCCTGGCTGGTCCATGACACCTTGTTTCTTATGTAAGCAGTGGTTTGGAAATAATATAACTCAGCAAGGATGATTGTACTCCAGGGGTCTGCAACCTATAGCTCCTGAACCAAATGTCTCTTTGAAAATAAAACAAAATATTTAAATTAAGGGATATTGGAGGAATAGGTTGGATGCTAAATAACCAGTATATTAAGCGAATAACAGGAAAACTCAAGGAGGAAGGGGGCTTGCCTTGCCCCTTCCAGGCTGCAAGTGCCATTGAGTTGCTGAGGGGACTACAGTTCCAAAGGGACCTTTGTCTAGGGCAGCTGTAGTAGAAAAGCCCCTGTCTGCCTGATGTCCTGAAGGGTTTGTCATAGAGTTGGGAATTATCGCAAACTAACTTTCTAGCATTTTGGATTAGGGGAATGGTGAGGTGCCTGAATGCATACATGCATGTATGTATTGCAGTAACTACGACCAAGAATATTTATGGGTTTGACTTCTATGTGCTTTACAAATTGTGGTATTAGTGTGTTTTTATAATATTTTATTTATATTGTTAAGCAGCTTTGCATTCCGCATAGGAAAAAGGCAGCTAATAAATGTTTTAAATCAATAAATAAAGCAAAGGTTTTTATAGGACTAAAGGGCTTAGATATGCTTTACAGAAAGGGAAATGATAGAGGTGAACAGTTGCCAGTAATCCAGGTGCAAATCATGTGCAGATTTATGCCTAAATCATTTAGGGTGCTTCTGTGTATATTTATTACGTATTGGGATACATTGTCTGTGCTACTTCCTATTAAGGGACTTGCAACAACCAATGTGGCCATAGAAATTATGAAATACGTGTGTTATGTGTTTTCAGTTATGCAAACTAGCTTCCTTATGCTGGCTATTTGTTGATCTCCTGTTGATGCTGTTTGGCTCTTTGATTTTAAAAGGTTACTGACCCTTGCTGTAATATTTTATGGTTTAAGGAAATAGGCAAACCTTTATTTGAATAAGTAGCTATTTTGGGATAGGCTACATAATTCTGGAAAGCACTCCTTTTCATTGTGTTGTTCAGATTGGTATTTTTAGAAGTTATCACATGTTTAGAAGCAAATGAATGATTTTCTTGCTGTTTGAATAAGTATAATAATGATTTACATATGAGACATATGCTATCAGCTGTACTGTCATTCCCTGGCTAACTTTGGACCAGTGGTCCTTCCACATCCATTTTACAGTCTATTTATGCTCCCCACAACATTTTGGAGTGTGCATTTTCCCCGGGGACTTCCATTTTTGGGAAAGTGAATGTTATTTTTCACCACTATCAGGTGGCCCTCTCTAAAAGCTTGCAATTTATCGAGAATGTCTTGGAGGAAAATAATCTGTACTGAATTTGGAGCGTAAATGGAGGCAAAGGTCCATATCAAGCCATTTATTATACCTTTGATGAAGCTATAACGCCCCATGGGATCTAAGAGACGCCAATGTTGGATCAGGCCAAAGGCCCATCCCCTCCAACACCCTGTGTCACACAGTGGACAGAAATACCAGTGCCATCAGGAGATCCACCAGTGGGGCCAGGACATTAGAAGCCCTCCCACTGTTGACCCCCCCAAGCACCAAGAAGACAGAGCATCACTTGCCCCAGAGCTCCTATCTATACCTTGTGGCTAATACCCACTGATGGACCTCTACTCCATATGCTTATCTAATTCCCTTTTGAAGCCGTCCATGCTTGTAGTTGCCACCACTTCCTGTGGCAGTGAATTCCATGTGTTAATCACTCTTTGGGTGAAGAAGTACTTCCTTTTATCTGTTCTAACCCGACCGCTCAGCAGTTTCATGGAGTGCCCACGAGTTCTTGTATTGTGAGAAAGGGAGAAAAGTACCTCTTTCTCTACCTGCTCTTTCCCATGCATAATCTTATAAACCTCGATCATGTCACCCCTCAGTCGTCTTTTCTCCAAGCTAAAGAGCCCTAAGCGCCTTAACCGTTCCTCATAGGGAAAGTGTTCCAACCCTTTTATCATTCGAGTTGCCCTTTTCTGCACTTTTTCCAAAGCTATAATATCCTTTTTAAGGTGTGGTGAAATCTGTACTGAATTTGGAGCGTAAATGGAGGCAAAGGTCCATATCAATCCATTTATTGTGCCTTTGATGAAAATATGATGTCCCATGGGATCTACTTCCTTCTCTTTCAGAATAAAATTAGTCCGTTTTGCCAAGATTATGGCCACTCCTCTCGATTTTGAGGAACCCGAAGCCATAAACTGTTGTGGGAACCTAGCTGATTTTAACAGAGGGTGTGTAGTTGAGCTGGACATGACCTGGCGGATGCAATGGAGGCAGAGAAATAAGAGCGCTTTGCTGCCTTCACTGCCACTTCATAGGACTTCAAGCGGGCTATATAAAGTGTTCTTGTTGCTTTGTCATGTTCATTGCCAGCACCAGTCTAGCCTTCTAAGCCCCCTTTTTACGATCCTTAGTTCATCCTTATACCAGGGAGCCAAGGTAGTATGATAGCAAAGAGGGCACTGGGGAGCAAATGGGGTGAATGGTCTCCTGAAGGCCCAGATTTCAGGCATCAGTGATTTCATCAAGGGAGATGCCAGCAGAGCCAGACAAATCCCACAGAATGTTCTGAAATCTGATTGGATCCATGATGCTCTGCAGCCCAGCATAATTAAGTTCCTGCAGAGGGAGGAGGCAAATCTCAAACTGACCTTCATAAGGTAAATGATCAGCCCATGGCACTGGTTTGCAAAGTGATGCTGAATCCAGTTCAATAGCTGCACAAAAGATCAGATCCAGCGTGTGGCCTGCTCTGTGCATGGGGACCAGTATAACCTGGGAGAGTTCTAATGATGCCATGGCAGTCATAAAGTCTAAAGAGGTACCAAACAAGGCAGCGTCAGCGTGGACATGGAAGTCTCCCAAAACTATCAGTTTGGAGAAATGCCAGGCCCACTCTGCCACCGCCTCTAGTAAGCTGGGTGGATGGTAAACCTGCAAGACTTCCACTCTCTCCCTGGCACCCCACGCCAGGTCTACACATTCAGTGCTGGCAATATTTGGTGCAGGAAGCTGCTTGAAGGAGAAAGAATCCTGGATAAGAATTGCTTTCCTCTCCATCTTCCCATTTGCAGTTGATGAAGGACCAAGTATCCTGGGGGAGTCAGCTAAGTGAGAGCCACCACTTCACCCTCATCCACCCAGATCTCAGTCAAGCATGCCAGGTCAAAATTGCCTTTCCTAATAAATCCTGTTGTTGTTGTTGTTGTTGTCTAAATAGGCACCACACAAGGCTTTTACTGTCAGAAACCAAGTCTTGAAGGCTGGCAGTGCTGTGGTAGTTGCCTCGCAGCTGTGCTGCAGATTTATAGTGCACCAAAAAAAACCACAGTCAGTATGACTGATCCAATGTCATCTAGTGAGCACCATGACAGAGTAGGAATTGAAACCAGGGTTCCCAGATCCTCTTTCAAAACTCTTAACAGCTACACCACACTGGCTTTAACACTTGCCCTTTTATTTCCTATGTGCTTGTAGAATATGTCATTCCATTAGTATTTACTAAAACTGGCTGTTGTTGAACAGTAGCAAATAGCCGGGGCTTGGTGAATCATGCAAGCCATGTGGTTGCTGGACCTGATGAGTCCTCCCTCAAAGACCAAAGCAGCCCTGGAAAGATCAGATCCAGCGTGTGGCCTGCTCTGTGCATGGGGACCAGTATAACCTGGGAGAGTTCTAATGATGCCATGGCAGTCATAAAGTCTAAAGAGGCACCAGACAAGGCTTTTACTGTCAGAAACCAAGTCTTGAAGGCTGGCAGTGCTGTGGTAGTTGCCTCGCAACAGCCACTGAGGAGATTAGTTTGTTAAAGCCACAGGGATTGCCCCTGTCTTTTGGGTGGGTTTTAACCCCCCAACTTCTTTTTAAAGATTTCTCTGCGAACCTGGAACTTTTCTCACATTTGTAAAAGTTCTCATCTATCCATGGCTCCAGACTTTAGATTTGAGTATCCACAGATGGCACCATGTTGAGATTTAGATGAATTGATTATAAATATTGACCTTTATTTAGTGACTGTGCAATATTAAACATAGTTACAGCCTTCTAAATGCATCAAAATCAATGGGCTT